CATAAGAAGAGCATGGCATCATGAGTTAAAATAATTGACCTGGTATATATGTATCATATAGCAACAGTGAAGTGTTGAAATAAAGTGATACATATATAATCAGTATGTGATTCTGTCATACAGGAAAAGTGGTTTAAGTATTTACTACACCATGGAACGTGTAGTGTGGTAAATGCACTTACAGTGTGAAAAGGTTTGTGCCAGTGTGAATAAACAAGAGTCCATGTGTGTGGCTAACATACACACCGTGCAGACATTCACATATGTTGCACAAAGACGCAACATGCACATCTTTGGCACCGTTGCTTGAATTTCAGCCTGACATCACACACAATCTGAACACACAAAGTGGAGACAGGGATGTGCACATTCACATTACAGCACTCACATGCACATCATGTCAGTGTGTCATCACCAGAGAGCCAACACCTTCCCACAACCAGACACGCATCGCTGCACTCTCCTCTTTCTGCTCAACATCTTTTCCCTGTCAAACATGTTTTATTATTGTCAGGTCACATTGCACAAAGTGCTGAGTTGTGAATCTGTTAATGTGAGAGAAGAAATACAATATCATCAGATAATTGGCCTCACCATAAAGACTTCTGTGGCTTCATTGACCACTTGTATTTAGGTTCCAGTCCTTTCCTTGAGGTGTTTATCAGGGCCCATATTCTTTACTGTCTAGTATATTTTTCCTAGAGCCACATGGGGCTATGGGGCCAATGTAAGAGGACACACATGCAAATGAAATGAATGAAAAATTGTTTATAAATTTGGATTCAAGCCAAACATTAGGTTCATGCCACATGGCACTTTACTCTTACTCAAGACTGCACTGGACTGAAAACAATGTATTACACAGATATTTCATCACCCTTCTTCCTATAGGTAACTGGTACGAAACATGTGCACCTGCCAGATACATTTCATTACGCCCTAATTATTGTTTTCTTTCTTTTCTATATACTGTAATATTCTTGGTTCCCTTATCTACTTCATGATTCCTCCTCTCAGTTCCTTCCCTCATTTCTCTTCTTTCCCAGCTTCTTTCTGCCTTTACTCTGTGCACACATTTTACCTTTCATCATGGAAAGAAAAACAGCAGTTTCCCCATATGAACATTTCCACACCCTGCAAAAATACACCTAATGATACTCCATCCCCTTCTCAAACCTGCCATCGCTGTTACATTTCTGAAATCTTGTCAGCGAATCACTGTCTGCCATGTCTCTCAGTAACTCTTGCCCAGGGGGACCTCCCACAGATTCCTGGCAGTGAAGGAGTGATGTTGTTGCGAAACATGACTGTTGTATTGATTGCATAGAGCACTGCAACAGCTGGTATGCTGAAAGAGAGCACAATGTGATACGGCCAAAGATGTGCTGTGGAGGAGTAAGTGTGAATGTCTCACAAGGGTTATCCCTCTCTGGATCTTTGCATAATCCTTCCTGATGGATACAGAAATTGATTTGGAGGGTGCGGCTGGGAAAGGGAGGCTGGGGGGAATGCTTAAGATTTGAGCCTGGCAACCGATGGCCAGAGAGCCGACAGTCCTCATTTCCTGAAGTATAAATTTAGGACCATTCTGAGCACACACTGTAAAGCTACAGCCTCACAGTTGGAGATGCTTGATTTAAATGTGCATATTTTTTTATGCAAAATTGTACCAAAGTGTATATTTTTTATGAGTGAAAAAGAAAGAAGATGAAAAATACAAAAGATTAATTAAAGGACCAGTAAAAGGGTTAGTTATTTTATGTCTATGTGTATTTGCATCAGTAAAGAAGATGAAAATGCTATTGTTTTAAGTTGTTATGGTTGAAATTATAGCACTATTTTACCATTGTTTTTCCAACATGAATGGCCATTTTACTGCATCTGTGACACTAATGCTGTAACTTGTTGCCTGTGTATTAAATGACTTGCCAATCAACCTGTCATCCTGTCAAATCAGGTTACAAACCTGTGCTGTGACTTCTGGTGGTGAAGCAGCAGCTCTGTTTATATGCGGATCACAGACCTCGCCTTTCGGGTTGCATTTGTATCGCCAACTTGAAGTTGCTAATGGCAACAACTCAGCAACAGTAGCATGCGATTTGGTGTCTCGGTGAGAGACCTAGTCAGTCAGTTATTCACCTAAGCTGCCAGTCATCCTCCATCCTAATTATTGCATGTTATATATACTTAACCAGCTCAAAATTTCTTCTAAAGTTATGCGCACACAGGATTAATTGGTAAATGCAATAATTGGATTTAATATCCCTGGATTTTGCTGCCATTTAATCAGTTACACATTAGCCATTCCATCACAGTATGAAATCAACCACACTGGGACCGTCATTTATTTGAATTGCATCAGAGTGCTAGGTGAATTAATTAAGCCAGTGGATCTCTAAGCATCTGGGCTTCTCAGTGCACTGTTGTTAAGTATTCACTAACTACTCCAGCTCGTGTGGCTCTCCATTGTCCCAGGCAATTAAAAAAATTTTCAGTTAACAATCTAGTTGTGACGAGAGAGACTATTTTTTTTCATCCTAGTTGCGACTACCATACCATCTAATTTCAATCTAATATTTTCAATTTCAGCACAAATACAGTAGTCATGTTACATTCTATTTGTAACAGTATTTTTCTCAGTGTCTTTCTTCCCTATATTTAATTCTCATCTTTGCTGTATTTTGTCTTATTGGTGCAGTAATCAACTTTCCTCTTGGCAGTGTTGTTATTCTTCACTATTTTACACACAAAGGAAACCCCACAGTATCAGTTAGCAAGTCTTGGATGTCACATCTGCAAGAAGAAAATTGCGCTTCGCTGTAAAATCCATCACCTCTTGAGAGTGATCCCAACAAACTCCACTATAGATTCCATGAATTAGGATTGACATCATTCAATAGTATTGTGATGAGCTGAAGATTACACAGTAACAAGGCAGTGGGTTTGATAGGTAAGTCATCACTATTCAGGTGTCCAAGGATTTCTCTCCTCATTTTTTCCTGGAACACCATTGATGTGCGATTGCATTCAAGATTCATTCATTCCCCCCAAAGGTAACATCAGGAATCATCAGCATCAAGAGGAAGTGGAGTCAGAGCAATAACCAGAATGGGACAAATGAATACAGTGGGTGGAGAGAGAACGAAGCAGTGTGTGGGAAACCAAAGCCGTGTAATAACAGAGGGAAATAATGTGGGCATAGTAGGTAGTGTGTTACGTGTTTACCCTTAATTAAAGTGGTTGTAACCAGTGATTGATGGGACTTGGCTTAGGCAGGGATGGTTAAGGCACTAGGAGGGCCTTTGTGTATTGACTGTAGTAACAACAAATTTACTACACTGAATAAGAAGGAATCCATTTTTTTCGCAAACCAATATACGGATCTGTCAGGACCTGAGGGAGCGCTTAGCTACTGATCTGTCAGTAAATTCAAACTATTTAACTGATCTAATCTCACTGAAATGTACTTGCCTAATTGTTTTTTTATTTAAAAAATGTTATGCTGATTTTGTTGTTGTTGCATACTGGTTTTCAAACAGCAGTTAGTTCAGAGTAATGCTAAGTAGCACTGTAAATAATAGTGTTTTTATTTGAATGTACCCTTAAACTTCTAAAAGTAAAAGTATATATTTTAATGCACAAAATATGAAATATGTCATCCAGCCGCTTTCCTATTCCAAATCCTTGGTTCCTGTGTAAATATGTTTGCATCATTATTCTCTAGCCTCCTAAATGGACAAGAAAATGTTGCCTGCATTTAGGTCATGCACGCATCATGCTCATGCACACACTTCTAACATCTTAGACGCATTCAGTCTCCCCAACATGTGAGGCTTATAGCCCAGCAATGCCTGTGGTCAGCACAATGCGCCGTCCACCAGGCGCTGCATTTTGCCCACACTGCTTTTAAGGACGCACTTTCACAGACATGCTTTATCTCTAACGGACATTGCAGAACGAACATGTAGTCTTACTGATCCGCTGCAACACATCTTGTGCCTGACAAAACAAACTGTGGGGCGAACGAATCTGTGTGGGCCATCGATCAGTAGTCGGACCCTGTTGTTGCTCTCTCTCTCTCTCTCTCTCTCTCTCTGTGTGTCTGTCTGTCTGTCGTGCACACGCAGTCACTGACACAATGCATTCCCTAGCCCCTTGCCCTAAGTGTAACCTTAACCTAAACCTAATTAACCAATTTCTTAATCACTCAACCCTTTACAGGTGTCCCGGAAAATGAAGACTGACCAAAATGCCCTGTTTCCCAAAATGTCCACACTCTTGATGGTATTAAACTTAAACCAGTCCTCACACACAAGGCAACACACTGGAGCCCAGGACAAGTGAAGGCAGCTGACACCAAAGCCCACATTGCAGGCGTAGAGCCTGTCGTGCGACAGAGTAGTCATCACTGCTGGAAAGCTGAGCCATTCACTCCCATAAACACAAGCTAGACCACACAAACACACACGCGCATCGCCAGTATTATCCCCCTGCGTGATTCCTCCCTCGACACTAAATCTCTTCTCGCACATCTGTCCAGGGCGCGTACTGTGCCAGTCCATCCCCGCAGAACCCAGCGAAAATACCACCTGGTATTGATGTGACACTTTGAATCTACACAGATTTTAATAACTTGTATTTAACGTTTAAACCCAAACGTGCTGTGACATAGGTTGTTGCAAAACAAGCTACCCAGCAGTAAAACAGTATTCCATACACATTGCATACAAATTACTCAATATATAACTGCTCATATTCGCAATTAACTCACCCCCCCACCCCTCAAAAAACCTCCCATGCCCTCGTAAAATCAACCATATGGGCTTGTGTTGCACCAGGAGGACTCAGCTCAGCAGAGCGTTGGAGTCACTAGTGCAGGTGCACGCTCAGCGCTGCCGTATCTTGCATCTATTGCGTGTCATTTATCAGACAAGGCTTCAGAAATAATTGCAAAAATCAATTAAACATTTCAGATTAAAACATGCGTTTCAGTACGGTACCTTCAGTTATTTCCCTTTGAAACAACGCGTCCTTTCGCCGAAGCAAAGTGAGATATATATTTATATATTTTTTTTCATCTGCTGCTAACGACGCAGGCTCAGCAGCACGGCGGGAGAGGATGACTGAGAGGGGAAGGGGGGAGTTAGAGAAGGAGAGAGAGAGAGAGAGAGAGAGAGAGAGAGAGAGAGAGAGAGAGAGAGAGAGAGAGGGGGGGTGCACAGACCACTCCCTG